GCTCCCGGCGCGGGCTGTGCCTGGAGTGTGCGAGGCGCGCTTGCGGCCGGCTGGGTTCTGTCTGGGGAGGGACACGGGCCCTTGGGTAATGTCCTATTAATTTTTTCTCATTCTGTTTTATGACGTTCAGATGGCTGGAAAAATTATCAGCATTAATGTTGCTATTCTTGGGAGAAGTGTCAAAATTTTGGAAGGAGGCTTAGATTAGAAATTAAAACTTCCGAGACCAGCTTTCCAGATTCTGCTGCCATTTGCTGCTCTCTGCACCGCAGCCGGGGGACGTGGCCCGGAGCTTTGGAGACGTGAGGAGGAGGGCGGCCTGGCGCGCTGCAGCCGGGCTGAGACGCCTGTGTCCGGTGTCCCGACCCCCGGCCCCTGCCTGCGCGGGCAGGCTGCGCAGGGGCTGTCGGGCCGGGCAGTCGTGTGACCGTGAGGGGCGCCCTCGCCGGCCCACTGGCCCCACCCTTGCAGGCAGCTCAGCCCCTGGGCCTCCGAGGGCCACCCGCAGGCCGCTCCACAGCCCTGCAGCGCCGGGGATGAGAAGGGGTGTGGGCCCCGTGGTCCTCAGCCTTCACCCCCTTAAACACAAGAGCAGCTCCTGATCAGTGTCTTCCAAGGCCCACCGGATGGGGGGACTGCGGCCGTCCCGGGGAGCATTGGGGCCGGGTGGTTGGGCCGCGTGGAGCCGCATGTTAACTGGGGCCTCTGAAGTGTCCTCTGGGCCAGGGAAGGACACCATGAGGGGGCCGCTCCCCCGCACTGTGGGTCCCGCTTGGTGGGAGCACGTGGAGTGCATCCAGCGGGGAGCTGGGGTGCGTGCGGCCGGCGGTGGCCGGGGCCCCACGGGGCGTGCGAGCCTCTGGGGGTGTCGGGACACAGCTGTGCTCGGGTAAGGCCAGGCTGGCGGACAGCGGTGAGCGCCAGGTGTCACGCGGACCGGGGTGGCTTCGGCCAGTGCTGGGACTGGGCTGGGTACCGGGCTCCCGGGACAGCCGGCGCTGCCGGACCGCTGACGTGAGGGAGCCAGGACTCGGCGAACCTCCCCGTCACCTCGCCCCGCTGTCACTGCGCGCCCGGGGCCGTGCTGGATGCTAGAGCCACGGGGGGGGGGGGGGGGCGCGTTCTGAGTCCCGAGGTGCCCCCAGGGCCTTCCTGGGCGCAGACGGCCTTTGTGGGGATCTGACAGCGACTTTCCCTGCCGCAGGCACCTTTCAGCTTCGGGCTGAGCCACCGAGCGCCGCCCTACCCCGCCGGGGACTGCTGCCTGCTGTGCAGGAGCGAGCGGAAGGACCCCGCGTTCCTGGAGAGCGGCGCGAAGGCCGCGAGCAGGCTGGCGCTCGCCACGGCCCCCAAGGGCAGCGGCGCCCTGCACCTGCCGCTCTGGGTGTGCCCCGGCTGCCGCCGCGCGGTGGAGGAGGAGGAGCGGCTGGGCGGCCTGGACGCCCCGGCGGTGAGTGCCCACCCCGCGCCCCCGCAGGCCGGTCTGCCGGGGCCCCCCACCCTGCTGGACAGTCTGCCGGGGCTCGCCGCTCTGGGGAGGCCCAAGGCGTCCGCAAAGAGGGGGTGTTTTGTGTGTTGGCTGGTGCCTGGCCTGCTGCGTGCCTGCACCCCGGGCTCCTGGTGGGGGGCGTGGGGGCGGCCTGGGTGTCTGCCCTTGGCTGGCTGGTCGGGCACCTTGGCGCCAGGCCGCAGGGAGCCGCTAGCCCTCGCCGGAACCCTTCCTGGGGCCGCTGGGCCTGGTCGGCACTGGGCAGTGGGCTGCGTGCTGGGGCTGTGGGCTGCAGCCCCAGGGCGCTGGCCCGGCAGGAGCCTGTCCAGGGCGCTCGTCCCGGCCGCTCCCGGAGTGCCGCCTCCCTGGCCTCCAGGGGTGCCTGTGTCCATACGCCGAGGGGCACGTGCCAGGCCCCAGAGGGCCGCAGACCGCG